AAATTATTTTTATTATATTATAATCATTAAATAATTTATTATTTTATTATATTTTAATATGATATTTTTTAATGTTTTGTAGTTATAAAATAAAAGGCGAGTTACTCCGTTTAGATATGAATCATATATCGAGTCATTATGTCGATATGGTAATAATTTTAAATTGTGTTATGTTAATTATTGTGAATGTTTTATATATTTATTTTTTTAGTATTAATTTATATTTTAATTTATATATTATTTATTTAATTAGGGGAATAATTGTATGTTAGATCCATTTATTCGTAACGCTAAGTTAGAGATATTAAATCGTGTCTAAACGTATTTAGTCGAGGATGTATTTGGTTACATAGTTAGATATGAATGGCATTGTAACCCTGAATACAACCTTATTTTTGCACTAGTTAAGAGGTAGAGACCAGAGACACGCACATTTCATCTACAGTGTGGAGAGTGCACTATTACGCTTGAGGATGTTTCCTTACATTTTGGGCTTATGATATATGAAGATGTCATTTCAAGTGTGGCGGATGGTGATTGCCATTCCTTGTATGAGGAGTATATCCTGCCTAATTTCAACGGTGGTCGAACACCGTTATCATGGTTATCTATAAATTTTTTACAATTGAGCGACAATTGTTCCGAGGAACAAGCTAAAATATTTGTTTGGGCTTGTATATTACTACTCATATGAGAGATTTTGATACTCGATAAATCTCGTAACCAAGTTCATTGTATGTGGTTGCGTCACCTCGTAGATTTTCGAGTTGCCAGCTCATTCTGTTGGGGCTTCACGGTTTTGGCATCTTTGTATAGAGAATGTGTTGAGCAACTGATTATCGAAAAAAATACTATCGACGAATGTTTCTATCTTCTGCATTCATGGTTGTGGTATTGCATTCCCTTTTTATGTCTGGTCATAAAAAACTCGTTAGTCTTCCTGTTATTGTTGAGCTAATTTCATTATTGAGTTTGTAATATTTTATTTAATTTTCTTCATTTATCAACAAATGTAATATTTTTATTTAATTATGAACTTTTTATTTAATTTTTGTTAATGTTTTTATTTAATTTTCTTCATTTATCAACAAATGTAATATTGCCCCAAGATTCAGTCTGCGCACTACCCTAAACCAACTTGGTAGTTCGTTGTAAGATGAATCCTACTTACTGTGAAGTTTTTTAATGGCATTTTGTTTTTCCTTCCATGTTTACCTATAGGAGACGGTGTACCCATATTGAGACTGTATAGCTAAAATCAGCACCGCAATAGTTATATGGGAGCTTGTTTTAACCATGTGCATGATGACTTTACAGATATTATCATAGTCCAAGTTGGGATGATCCTGGTTGATCCCTTTTAGCACAACATGTACGAGGACCTTTGTATACTGTTAGTTCTCATATGTTATTTTTCCTCTTCATCTTCTATACACGTAGGGGTGTTCATTCGATTAAAACAGTGGTCGACCGAACTGAAATACCCTTAACCGAATTAACCGAACTTTTTTTCTTTAATCGTTAACCGAACCAAACTTTTTTTTTGAAAGTATTAACCGAACCGAATAAATTTCGTTTAATTCGGTTAATTTTCGAATTAACCGAATTTTTTTTAGAATTTTAAAATTAAATATTTTTTAATTAAAAAAACAATTTATAATTAATTTTTTTAGCAAGACACCACCAAGTTCTTAATTTAATCTATTCCCAAGCAAAAGCAGTAGCAATCACAGCGAAGAAGAAAATCATATTAGGGTAAAGCAAGAACAAAAAAGGACCGAACATGGCTGAAATTGGCTTCCGATTTTGTTGGAAAGGAACGCCCTCATCTAAATTTTGTTGAACGCAACGATGTCACAACTCTGAATATATTCATTGTGGGGTTCAGCTGTGAGGTGCTCCTTGATAAGTATATCGACGGAAACTAGATCATCAACTATTGTAAGCATGATATGGAGCTTTTTAATGTCATATCCGACTGCAATCAGTTTCGATGCTCCCCCACAGAAGGCCAGGCATTTCAACAGATCGAACAGCTTCTTCCAACTTCTTCATATCAGTCTCGTCATCCCATGGTTTAACATCCAAACGCACTGAATTATAAATAATATCTAATTAATTTTGCCCATGCTTCCTAACCCCTCAAAAGACTAACATGTTTTTGCCTCAAAAGCATGTTTCTTCGATGCTTCACCGAATTAACAAAAGAGTGAAAATAAAAAAATCATGCTTCCCAAGTCCCAACCCCTAAAAACGTATCCCCATGTTGCTCTCTCACCCATGCTCCACCTGCCCATCTCGTGCCCATCTCGTGCCCATACCTTACACAAATCAAGCCATAAAAGAATTGATAATCGAGGAGCACATAAAGGAAGTGGGGGGCAACATATTATGGGGTGAAAAAATATTAAAAAATATTTAAGGTTTAATTCGGTTAATTAACTGATTTCGAACCGAATTAACCATTAACCGAATATCCAAAAAATCATTAACCGTTAATCGACCGAACTAATTCGGTGGCCGACCGAATTAACCAAACTAATTCGGTTCGGTCGATTAACCGAATTAGTTCGAAAATTTGAACACCCCTAGATACACGAACCATCCAGTTGTATCCGTTATCATGTTGGACACAATAGCAGACATACTTTTTTGATGGTGGATTAGTCGACTCTGGAGTGAACAAACTTATGAATGTTGTAATTCTTAATTGCAATCATTGCTTCTTTTTTAATGGAAACTTTATTCCAATATATAACTCACCATCATTGACTGATAAGTTAAATCCGTAGTCACCAACATTAGGCATATCCGTAAATTTTGGCCTATACATTGCACCATAGTCAGCTTCATAAATGTGTATTAGAGGTTCGGTATGTATCTTATTTTTGGGAACTTCATCATCATCAGAGCTCATGTTGAACCACAATGATTATGTCTCAACGAATAGTCTAGTCTCAGCACTATCTGCACCTAACTCACTAAGAGGTTTTTTAATAGAGATGAGAGTTCCTCTTTGATGCCGATATTTAGGTCGAACAAATTGGTAGCTGAATGTCTTCCTCTTAAACTTGAAGTTATTGTGTCATATGGGTTTTGAACTGAATGATGTGTCACAAACATCTCGACATTGAGGTCAAAAAATCTCGTAGTTGAATGTCTTCCCCTGAAACTTGAAGACATCATTGTCAAATGGGTAATGAACAAATTATTGTGTCGAGGGCATCCACATATTTAAGTCAAATAAATTGGTAGATGAATGTCTCATCATTGAACTTGATGGGATAGTACCAGGATGTATATTTCCCATTAACGAGTTAAAATCATTACACATTACTGAAATTGGGCTGTCAATTTGATCAGCTTGTTGAGCTAGCCCATAGTGGGAGCATAATGACATACCACGAACCGCAGACACTTCAACAAATGTCACATAGATTTCTATATCAGCTTTCGAATTTTCATAGCAACATCGTCATCGTTGGAGAGTTCGAACATAATATAAGTTAACGGAAATACTATGGTTGGAAATTTGTACTAAAGTAAAGACATTCTTCTAGTACTTCCAAAATGAATCTTCCTTGAAATTTTAGTAAGAGTGATGTTTTTCTTGAAGGATATTATGATATAATGATTTGATGTGAAGACAATGTCGATTTCATCTTCCTGAATTTTTCCATCATAGTAAACAATAGCTGAAATACACCTCATTTTGAGAGTTTAAAAGATTGAGAGTTTCATATTTGTAAAAACAATAGCTAAAATACACGTAATTAAATAAATAATATACAAATTAAAATATAAACTAATGTTAAAAAAATTAAAATAATTCATAGTAAATTAAATAATACAATTTAATATTGTTACTGTATCGACAAAATATCTCGAGATTTAATCATACCTTTCATTTTACAACCGCAAAAAAATTATACATAATAGTTACTAAAAAAAATTTGGTCAAAAAATTAAATATAATATAATAAAAAATAATTTTGCCTTCAAAGAAGTATAACAAAATCTACTTATATATGCAAAAACAATATCTAAATACACCTAATTAAATGAATATTAAACAAATTAAAATATAAACTAATGTTAAAAAAATTAAAACAATTCACAGTAAATTACATAACACAATTTATTATTGTTACTGTATCGACAAAATATCTCGAGATTTGATCATGCCTTTCATTTGACAACCGCAAAAAAATTATACATAATAGTTACTACAAAAAATTTTGATCAAATAATTAAATAAAAAAAATAAAGATAATATAATAAAAAATAATTTTACCTTCTAAGAACTGTAATAAAATCTACTTAGCTTGATAAAATGAATTGATTGAAAGAATAATGTGAAAATAATTTTGGTGTGGTTTAATGTTTGCATTCAGAGGTATTTATAGGGGATAGGTATGGGTGAGTTGCCGAACTTTAAGACTCAAATAATATTGGAGTATCCAATAATTCAAGGTGAATAATAGAAGATATGAATCACTTTTCGTTGCGTGTCAGCTTTACCACGAAAGCTCAGATGGTGATTCACATGACACCACCTCGAACGAGAATCTAAAGAAGACACATTTAGTGATCCGCTCCTTCAGCAAATAGATATTAAATCAATAAAATTTGATTAATAAATACCTGATATATAATTATTAATTCTTTTGGGTTTTTTTAGTAAAAACGCCCCATCGCTCACCCTCAAATTATTAAAAGGCAAAACTTTTTGTTCAAAATTCATGGCAAAACTAAAATTACATTTGACGAAATTGAAATTTTTTATAGGAAAGAATTGAAAATAAATTATAATATAACGGTCAATAAAGCTATGAATGCACAGTCACCAAGGGTTAAATTCACTGCCAACCGCCGGTCAATCGAAGTTAACCTTGCTTTTCCCAAGACATTTACATTTTATAAATCCATTTAAAACTTCAAAAAGGAAAATATATATTTTTTTCTTTTCGGGTTTTTCATCACCTGCCATGCCCCAAAAGCAAAGCAGTGGTGAAGACTCTGCCATTTTACTTACCCTTTCCTTTCCTTGATTTTCTTTTTATTTTGTATAAATTCTCCCATTTCTTTCGTGTCTTTATCTCCTTTTTGCTCTCCCTGTTTCAATTTTGATTGTCCTTTCCTCTTTCTCACCCTTAGCTTATCTGGGTCGGGGGTTATGATATCACTCTTTCAAGAGTCTTGAGGGGGAAGTTAAGGGTCGTAGAGAGCTTTGGCATTAGGAAAGAAGGTTGCTTATTATTATTATTATTGTTATCATTTCTTTGATGATGTAATGGTATTAGTGGTGGAGGAGAATGGAGTTGCCCTTTAGACCAGAGAAAGAGATCAGATAAAAGCAAAAGAATGGTGAAGAAAAGATGTCCCCTTTGATTGGTATTGTGCCTTCTGTTTTGTCAAAAAGAAGGGAGATAAAAACAAAACTCCTTCCTTCTTCGATGGTCTTGCTCTCTTTCCTCTCTTTAATTTTTTCCCATCTTTTCCGCACGCTTCTCGTTTACTAGGTGTGATACGTCTTCTTCAAGGCTAGTTTCCCTGTAAAAACATATTTTGTTAATTTCTTTTCTGTTGTAGTCTAGCATTTACCAAAGGGTATTAAAAAATGCCGATGTATCAACCATCTACTAGAAGAGAAGCCGACATGAAGCTTGACAGCCAAGTCCTAGATCTAGAAACGGCTGTGAAAGATGGCATTTTGGGAGGCGGTTGCGGGGTAATACCCACTGATTTTTCCTCGGAGAAATTGGATCTGAAGTTAATGATTGAAGAGCTTGAGTTTGTAGATGTGCCGACGGTCTTCATATGTCCAATTTCTTTGGAGCCAATGCAAGATCCGGTGACCCTTTGCACTGGCCAAACCTATGAGAGATCCAACATTCTTAAATGGTTCTCCTTAGGCCGTTACACTTGTCCCACCACGATGCAAGAGCTCTGGGATGACTCGGTGACTCCAAACAAGACGCTTCAGCAGCTAATTTTTAGTTGGTTTTCTCAGAAGTATTTGGCTATGAAGAAGAGGTCAGAGGATGTCCAAGGAAGGGTCAAAGAGATTTTGGAAAATTTGAAGAAAGTTAAGGGCCAAGCTAGAGTTCAAGCGCTTAAGGAGCTTAGGCAAGTGGTTCAAGCTCATGGGATAGCTAAGAAGACTGTTGTGGAAAATGGAGGCGTTGGTTTGATTTCATCTTTGCTCGGTCCTTATACAACTCATGCTGTTGGGTCAGAGGTAATTGGAGTTCTAGTGAACTTGAATCTCATTTCCAATATCAAGTCTGATTTGCTGCAGCCTGCTAAAATGTCTTTAATGGTGGATATTTTAAATGAAGGGTCGTTTGAGACCAAGTTAAACTGTACGAGGTTGATTACGATGTTAATGGAGGGTAATGATTTTGTATCGGAAAATGTTGCAAGTTTGAGTCTTCTAGTTGGGTTACTGAGATTAGCGAAAGATAAGAAGCACCAAAATGGGGTATTGGCTGGATTGAGTTTGCTCAAAGTACTTTGTTCTCATGAGCAGGTTAGGAACTCTTTTGTCAATGTTGGGGCAGTCCCTCAATTGGTTGAGCTGATGCCTGGGTTGAATAATGAATGTTTGGAATTAGTCCTTTATTTATTGGAGCTCTTGTCAAACATACCCGAAGGCAGATTGGCTTTGAAAGATTGTCCACTTACCATACCAAATGTGGTGAAACTATTGATGAAAGCTTCGGAAAACTGTACGCAGCTTGCATTGTCAATACTGTATGTCATTTGCAAGTTTGCACCGGAGGAATGTGCTTCACTTGCTCTGGATGCAGGCCTGGCTGCCAAGCTACTTCTAGTTATACAGAGTGGTTGCAATCCCGTTTTGAAGCAACGGTCAGCCGAGTTGTTGAAATTGTGTAGCCTAAATTACACGACTACCATCTTTATTTCCAAGTGTAACCTCACAAGAACGATTCAATGATGGAAATTGCAGCTTGTTTGTTATTCTTGTATCAATACAACAAATGGGGCTGCCGAGCTTCCTGTTTTCTAGAGCTATGAAAGGAGAGGGGTCTCTAAGGTACCCTTTGCTCTCTCATATGTACACTAAAAAATTTCCGTCATATTATTGTTTCACGTCAAGCACCAGCATAATGTGGATTAGAGAATTGAAGTTGGCATTGTTTACCAATCAACTTTCTGTATGCTCAAGTTTCAACCTATATTGTCCAATAATTCCCAGCGAGGTTTTGATTCAAATTTGCTTGTCTTTCAATCCACATGAAGAAATGTACTAGTATACTCTTATAATGGAGCTAAGTGGGGTTGGGAAATGATGATACAGAAGGAAATGATACGAGGAAGGGGGCTCCTGTTGGCATTTGTGTTTAAGGTTTCTGGGCAGTCCTGACTGATTGAGCCCTATATTTCCTTAATCTCTGTAAGGTTTATGTGAAAATTTACATCTGTATACCATGGTTCGATGAGTTCTCTTTTGTCTTGAATCTTAAAACTTTTTGTAGAGATTGTAAAACCCTTCTGGGTTGCTATCTAATAAAACTCTGCACAACCTATTTGTTTACTTCGTGAAATTAACAATTTGAATTGCTGAATTGAAACTGCCTTGAGCTGGAATGTGTGTTTTCCCTTTACATAAACGCTTATATTCTAAAGGAGCTGAACTCTAAGATTGCAGAGCAAATTTGAGGGAACTGGCATAAATTTCAAAGGAAAAAAAGGTGGTCAAGGGGGTACCCCATGTTTTTCTTTACTTTTTAGAAAGAAAATCTGGTGGGCTCATATCATCATTTGAATCAAAACTATAAGCAACAGCTTGAAGGTGAGGCTTTTGCTGAAAAGAAGTTTCTCTGCAGATAGCATCAGTGGTGGCTGCTGCTATGATATGCAATGGAAGATGGGATCTTCTTGAGTGGAGGCGAATGAGTCAACTTTGCCTAGCTTCTTCAACATCAATGATGTTCAAGTTGGAGGATGCTTTTGAAAGTAAATATAATTGGAGATGATGCATTGCATAGAGTAGAATGATTAGTTCCAGGTTTCCAAGGAGGGGAGGGGAGGGCCCTGGATTCCACTTTCGTTGTCACGAATGCATGTACACTCACATCCCTTTGCCATTGAAAAGAAGACACATTTGTGCGGGTGGGAAAAGTGAGGAAATCATGTCCACTCTCAAAAGTAGAGCCAGCTGAAGTGCCCAGCCATTGCACCCATATCCAATATCTCGACCCAAGTGCCAAGAATCTGGTCAAATGCATTGCTGCCCCTTTGAATGGAAGACTTGGACGACTCTCGATTCATATTTATTTAATTAAAGATTATAATGATACAATTCTTTTTGGTACCAGTTAAAACATTACGAGCGAAGTTGGGAAGGGACAAGGGTTAAGATCGAACCTTCAAATTCCAAGGCAACTTGCAGTATAATGCTAGCACCGGTTTTACATCTGTTGTGGTCGCCAGCTTTGCGAGGAATCCGGTGCCTGGGGTTTTACTCAATGGAGAGGACGAATTTAAAATCATTAATAAAATATATAAAAATAAATATATAAAATATATAATAATTTAGAATTTTTAAGGGACGATCTTTCCTGGTCCAGCGGCAATGGCGGTCCATCTGATGTGCCCAGGTGGATTAACGTGCTATATGACGATAAGCCTAAAACGCTAATAGCTGATTGCATACAAAGATCCGTAAGCACGGCTGTTGCAGTTTATCCTGACAACGGATATAATTACTTATGATGGGATGTGTGCAGGGATGACTAATCCAAAGCATCAAAACAATGTGAGACACTTTGGTATCCGTCTGTAACGGTGCTGTTGCAACTCTGGTGAAAACAACACAAATTCAAACTCGGATACAGTGAGGATGCAGGTGGAATGAGAGGCGGTGAGCGGGTGAAGAACTTTTAAATGGAGTGAAAGAAGGAAGCTCATTTGATAGTAATGGGTGGCAGTATGGTTGTCTTGCCTGCTTGAATTGATTTGTTCAGTCTTTTCATGGAAACACAGCAAGGTTGTCTCGTCTCCTGCAAATAAAATGTATAACTGAGGTTAATGAAGCTCATTTTTGTTGTTATTTGGTATTTCATTATGAGGTATATATATATGGTTTCCTCCAAGTCATTAGCATCATTCGAATGCATACTCGTATTTTGCATTGCTTCTATATATGCCTTCATTGCTGTTACATGAACATATATATGATTTATTTATGTTGTTTACAATTAAACTAACATTGTCTGCCTTATTTTCTCCTACAATAATTCAACTTCATGGCTTCTAACTTTGAGTATAAATATAATCCACATGAGCAGCAAGGGTTCTTCTCATCAAGCAATCCTCTTTGCCGACTTCAGTTCTCATTGATATCAACTTTCTCGGCCGCAACTCCCTGCATGAACCAAGAACCCCTAGCCTTATCAGTATTAATCAGAGAAATATAATATATATAAGAAGTGAGATGAAACATACGTGTTGTTGGGTCAAGGGAGAAGCAGGGTCGGGTCGAACAGCATAACATAGCATAAAATTGAGGAGAGCGAGAAGGGTGCGAAGCTTGGACATAATTTTCCTTTCGGCTTTTGGGATTCAATAGTTAAAGGTACAAAAGTGATGAGTTTATAAAGGCAGCAGAAGGAAGAAGACGCTGTGAGATTAGGTCAATCCAAACCCCAACCATTTAAAATTTTCACATGTGTGTGGATATGCTTATGCTTAATCAGGAAAGTATTATCCATATTAAAGGCTCTTGATCTTCATTTCCCAGTATAGCAGATGAGTACTTGATTGCCTAATAGAAACAAAAGAAATCTGTGGGGATTTTGCAATTTAAAGAAGGGTGGGATTATCATATCTTGTAATCCAGGCTTGACTGCGTAGGATATGGTGATCTTGAATGATCGCGACAATATTCTAAATTTGTTAGCTCTGTGGTATACCATTTTGTATCCACGTTACCAAGGCCATAATGAATCTTTAACACGGTCTCCCTACGTCTTATCTTATCAATTTTTTAAAAATCATTACTATGTTACTTTTTAAACTATTTCTTTCTGCTGTCGGTTTTTAAGGAATTATCATCAATACTTTTAACACTTTCATCTCTATTAATATACCTTCAAATTATAAGTTTTTTTTTGTTACAAAGTATAAGCTTCAAAACATGTTTTTTACACACAAAAATTACACGTCTTTTTCTATCGTTTTATTAATTTTTACGAGTAATAATTTTTTTAAATATATATATATTAATTTTAGAAATAATTTTTGTTTTCTGAATATATCAATCATGATAAAATTATTTAAAAGAGATAATTATTTTACAGTTTAATAATATTTTTATAATTTTTACTTCTTCATTATAGTTATTAGTAATTATCTATTTTCCACTGGTCTTATTTTTTACAAGATATAATCATTCAATAAAATTAATTTTTTTTAGTTACCCTTCATAAATTTGAGATAAATTCTTCTTATTTTTTTATTAAGTTAAGGTGATTACAAAGTAGTATCTATTATAAATACTCTTAATCATTTGATATTGAACGATTAATCATCCTGCTGCAATTGTTGATGCTTGAACCTATAATCTCAAAGAACAACAACGATTCTTTTATCCACTTAAGGTAAGTTGGTTCGTGCGGGATAAATTCTTATTAGTTTAGTCTAATATGGGCTGTTTGAGTTTCTTATGGACAATCAATATTGGGTTTAATAGTTGAAGTAAGTTGTCCCTAAAACTTGGACTAGTAGCTCAAAAAATACGGGCTCAGAAAAGCTCTGTTAAGCAAACCGACATCGTATAGTTGGTCCTAGCTGGCCTGGTCAGGCAGTGGACCCAGCTTTCACCGCTTAAACTGAGAAAGAGAGAGTCGCATCGCATCTTTCAATTCTCTCTCTGCACGTAACTGGACAATAACTGCCGATCAAGGTCGCGCCAGATTCAACTTCGCCCTGAATTGTGCCATCAGTCCCCTATATCTTCAGAAATTAAAAAGCATTTAACAGCACATTAAATTGTTATAATTTAATATAAAAAACCGCCTCTCGTCTACAGCCGAAAGAAGCCATGCTCGGTGTTGGAGAAGAAACCCCTTCCAGGTACACGCATTCAATATTACGGTTTATTGACGGTGTTAATTATTTGAATCTTGAATTTCTTTTAATTTTTGGTGTAGGTTTGATTTACTTAGCATGATTAGAAAACACTCTAATCTATTGGGGAAAACGGTGGTGGAAGAAGAAGATGCCTCCGACATTGAAATGGACGGTCAATTTTGGCACGACATCTTTGATCTGTATTTCCTTCGGGGTAAAGAATCCAGACGACGGCAAGACGACGATCTCTTATTTTTCGTGAGAAAATGGGTATCAAATCTGTATCCACTTCTTATTTCGATAAAGAAGGAAAAAAAAGGAACTAAGCTAATTGTTTCAATTTTCGCTGCTGTAGAGAGAACATGATTTTAATGATAAGAACGGTGTCGTTCCTTACTTTGTACGCAGGTGGGCACCTGAGGTAAACCGAACTCAAAACCAACTTGAATCTGCATTGAGTTAATTGTTTAAGTTGATTGTTTGCTCTTTGCTTTAGTAGTTTTCTTAGCTTTTTGTTATAATGTCCTTGTGGAAATTGAGGGGTTTCTTTCATTCGTGTTAGATGTAATTTTCTATACTTCTGTGAACCAGTTGGATAAGTTAGTTGGTGAGAATTTATCAGAGGTTGATTGGAGGCGCTCGTTTTACTTGAACATGATTGCCCATACTTCGTACTCTGTAACAGTGGCAATTTGCAGGTAACTTCTTCACTTCCTTTTCATGTGTCTTGTCCATGCAATGTTGTGTTATTTTGATTATTTTTCTGTATATCAGCTTCATGCTTTACATAGTAATGGTTGATACTTCCCTAAAGTTAAATGGTACACTTGTTTCTTATTGCTCTAACAATGTCTAATCGTGTCCTCCCCTCTTCCCCCTTGGTGAACTAACTTTTTCGTTTCTGAATTTATATTTTAATGTTTAAGAAATAAGACACACACACACACATATATATATGCATATATTTTTCTTTCCCCTCTTCTTCTTTATTGATAGGGTCACTGTATTAGATTATGATTGAAGTTGAACTATGAGTTATTTTCCACTTTTCCCAGTCAGCATGTCCTTCAAAATCATCAAGTGGGGCAAGATACACCATTGTCTGCTATCTACAAGGTAACCCTGCTTTAATATAGCTAATGATGTCAGTGACCTTATGGAGGAGATACTTGTATCTTTAACTTCTTAAAACTTGTTTGTATTCTTGAAATAAAATCTGTCATCTTGGAGAAAATCTGACCAAATTTTTGCCGAGAGCTGTTTGCTTCTCATGTATTGTGTCAATTGCTGATTTCATCCTTCTTATTATAATACATTGATTGCTAATTTATGCAATTTCAATTTAAGAACTTAAATTATTTCTAGCTACATCTAATACTGTCTCTTGCAAAGATTCCAAAATATCCATGCCAACATATGGATGCTGCCTCCTCTAATCCTTTAGTTCTGCTGTCCTGCAGGTTGTGAAGACTGTTTATGCATCTCCTAGCCGAGTAAATTTTCATTTGGACTCAAAAAAGGCAAGCTTATCATTATTAGCAATCCTGGTGAAATTGAACTTTTCTTCAATTTCATGATATTCTTACTAATTTGGATCTAGGAAGTAGAGACAACACCTGCCTATCCAGACATCTGCTTCGCCATAGATGATTTTGATTCCACTTTTGATGCAGTGGTAAATGCTTTTCTTTTCCTTTATATATGTGTACTCAACTGTATATTTATGACCATGTTATTGAATGAATGTATATGATTAGATGTGGTACATGGGGTTTCAACTAGGGCTAGGCTAGTATTACTGCCTTCCTCTCGCAACCCGTGTTATAAGGCATTGAGCTAACAAGGAATTGGAACTTGCTATTTCTGTTGCATGTGTAAGGACCAAAGTCGGTTCTTTATTTGAAGACTTGCATCCTTCTTGGTCATACAGTTGTTCTTTTGTATGTTATGATAGTAGGATTTCATGGAAAGCAAACCATTTTGTTAATTGTAGTTCCCCTAGTATGTAGCTGTGCTTTTTTCCTCATGCAGGTCTTGACAGATACAGATCATTGCTACTGTGTGCTTCTTAATGCACATGATGGAGCAGCATTTCCTAGTGAAACAGAGACAAATGATAGCTGTTCCAGTAACAAATTACCATTGAGAGTAAATGCTAATTCTATGATGATGAAAAATTGTAAGGTTTGGGTCCTTTCTCAGGTCTTTTCTGATAATTTATTTGTATAGTCCCATGATCAACCAGGGTCTTCACATCTAAAGGAGATGCCTAGAACTGATTGGTTTTTTATGCCACTTTATGATGGTCAAATTATTTGCTGTTCTTTACAAAATTCTTTATGATGATCAACCATGTCTGTCACATGACATGATAAGAAAATTATTTTCCCTACAATATCATTTTAATGTTGCTTGATTTTTCTAATGAATTTGTTTTGAATTTTAAGTTATAAATAATATTTTGGTAATTCCTAGCATCAGATTGACTGATGCTTCAGTTTTCCAAATTAAAATGGATTTATTCCAGAGCAAAAAAATTGATTTACTTTGTGAAAAGCTGATTAGAAATTCTTTATTTGCCATAAAGAGCAGTTAGCATACAACTTTACATTCTTCTAACTATTGTGGCAGCTTACACTTTTTTCTGGATTTGTCAGCTATCAAATGGTTCGGGATGCATATGATGGTATACCCTTTTTCTATATCTGAGAATTGGCTTCTATTTTTATTCTTTCAGAATTCTGTGAAAACCTAGTGCATCAACTGATAAAATACTTTCTACTTTGTTTTTATGTGTTGAATCTTGACCAAGAAATGGATTGATATGTAAACATACAAGCATGACTTACACTAAATTTGGTTCTTTTGTTAAACAACAATTGATGTATCTTTTACTGCAGTTTGTAAGGGTTGGCACCCTATTGGTGCTTTCTGTTGCAACATCTTCTTCATTTATCAAAATAATAATGGTAATGTGCCTGTAGAAAAACAGACACATTAAGTTTGTAAATTTCCAGTTGATTTGATGTTGATAAAGCTTGATCTAGAATGAAGTAGGCAAAACATGTAGACTGCTTAGCTGATTAAACTATTTCTCCCTGTATTTTAGTTTGTTCTTAATGTCCTCTTCATGCTTATTTCGGTCTCGTATCATATCATGTATTTCTTTATCAGCTGGGCGTTCTGGATTTGAAAGTCTTCTGTCAGTTGGTCATTACTCTGGTAAAACAGACAGACTTTACATGAAAGGTCCTGGAGGATGTGGACAAGTTGAAGTCTCTGTTTCAGGTGTTGCAGGTCGGTAAGAATTTCTATCTTTTATGTGTCTTATAACATTCACTTTCTTCTGTGTTTCCTCACTTTCTCCAGGCTTTATATGGATTAAATGTTGCACCACTGTATATTGATCATGGCCTTTGTTTTCTCAAGGATTAATGAGTGCCAAACCCAAATTATCCCACTATCTTATTGAGCCATCGATCATAATGTCACACTTCAAAACGATTAACCTGTGAACAAATTGTATGCCATTACTTTTGGAAATTATTGTGCATTGCTTTGTTTCCTTCTTTTTCTAATGTTCTTTATTTATCATTTTATGAACAACTGGTTCATTTAATGAATTATGTTAGTTGATTGACCATGTCAAATGAATGGTGCATGCTAGGGTTGAGTAAAATACTGAATTTATGTTTCTCTATCAGACCAAAGCAAGCAATCTTCTGGCCACCCTTCACCAGTTACGCCAAACAGAGGTTCCAGACTTGGCTCATTGTTCCGTAAAGCAGCTTCGGCCGTCTCTGTGGCAGCACAGCATGCTTATGTGACTGCTACTTCAACTTCTGATGAAGAGATGATACCTCTCAAATGCTGTTTAATGTCTATAACGCTGCCCTGGGAGCACATTGCTCATGATCTTTTGTTCAAGGTATATATGAACTTTTTATTATAATCTCTTAAGCTTCCATCACTTATTTTTCTCTGCAATATCCGATCCAGTGTCTAACTACTGCTTGTTCCAAACTCAGAGAAGTCCTCCCGTGAACTTGTAAATGTCTTGTTGACAAAATCTGCGTGACATACATGCAACCTGCAGAAGAAAGGGGAGGGAGGGGGAAAGCATTCGAGAAGTAGACATGCAAAAAATGTTCAAAATATTCCACTTTCTTGAGGATGAAAGTAGATCGTGTCATATATTGGTTTGGGGTCGAGTGTTCTTAGGTTATATTATGACTATTGTACATTATTAATAGTAAACGCTAGTTTGTTGCTTATGTTTCTTCAGTGCCTCAGATTCTTATACATTCCCAATGAATGCCAGATGTTTTACGAGTGCTTTCGTATCTCATCTATGTTTCTTCTATTTGCATTGAGTTGTTTCTTTGCTGTATTGAGCTAAGACCTAAAAGTGTTGGAAGACACTAGATTATCGGTTCCAAAAGTGCTTTCTGCCCTTTCCTTAATTGCTGTGATGCCTCTTTTCCTCGTTGGCCAACCAGTTCAACTTTTGTGTTCGGTGCCTACCTCCTTCAAATTTTTTTACATAGGATTAAATGAGATTACATATATTGTGATTTGGTTTTTAAATTGAAGAATAAGTTGAGTTAAATCTTGAACTAAATCAATATCGTATGGCTTTCCATGCTATGCTATATTACTTGCTTTTTGCCAAAATTAGCGACACCATGCAATCCATAACTAGACAAGTGCTTGGAACAACTTACAAGTGTGCAATGGTGCATTGCTTTAGATGTTTTGTGAGTGTGGTTACTTTTTCTCTTTAGCTTTGGGGGAACCGGTGTTGGCCTCTGAAAGTAAGCAAAGGGCGCTTGGGACATGATCAAGATTTATCAGCTTTAGGGTGCACTGTGCTGGCTCTAGTGTGCACATGGGCAAAGAGAGGGTGGCTCCGCCAGGTTTGCCTGCGCCCGAAGTAATACTCAAAGATGGCAAAGGGGCTTCTTCCTCTGCTGTTGGGACGCCTGGCCATAGCATATTGACCAAGCAAGGTTCGTTTGCAATTACGGGAAATGTTGACGCTTCATGGGTTCCAAATATATCTACTATTTTTGGAACCCTGTTCCAAAGTTGAGTCAATCAAATCCTAAGAAAACCCTGGTCGGGTCCTTTATAATCATCTACGTTATGAAAAGGAAAAAAGTAATTAATACCAGTTTTTAACGCAAAAGATTACTATTTTCTAAAAATGAAAATTCGAGCTTGGAAGTTCTGCAGAGTACTCAAGCTTTCAATAGTAAATTTTTTATACATGACAAATTATTTTGCACCAATCAGAATAATGCCCAAGAATTAAAAATAAAATCACATTCTCTAAATCATATGTTGCTATTAAAGTGATTTTTAAGCAGAGAAAGTGGGCAGGTCATTAAATCTTGGTTAGCGTTCGGATAAAGCAATTAGGCATATTATCATATTCAAGCATCCTTATTTAACCATGTTTAAAGAAAATCAGTTTCAGAAGCACATGAAGGCCATTTCTATGTAGATGTTGCTTAAAGCAGTTGAATTATAACATAGCAAAAATTATAAATAAATGGACGAGGAGCTAATGATTGAGCTGAATTTCATAAAAATAAAGAAGTTAATTAAACTATACCTGCAACTGCAAGCAGCATTAATGGACCGTATGCATGCATGTTAGCATCCACTATAGCCTATAGTATTATAAATTATGTACTTAATGACCTTTTGAGAATGGCTTGCTAGTTACCCTGCAATTTACAAACTCAAGGCTACCAGCGAAAAAAAAGAAAATTTCTCCAGATCTTTCATTAAATTATTTAAAAATATCAAACAAAAAAAACAACTATGTTTCAATTTCCAACAACTAAGAAAACTACCAGGGAATCTACAGTCTTGAGTCGCAAGCAATTTTTTCAGAAGTTTCTTCTATTAAAAAGATATTTTTAATTAATTTTTAAATCAATATCCATTTTTAGTTATTTAAAAATGTTTTTTATTGATTAAATGTGTCAAATAAATATACGTTCGATCAATCATATTTTTCAAAAACTCGTCTAATATAGTGCACTTTTCATAGAATAATATTATCAAAGCTTAATCTTGAGTTCAAATCTCTTTGGAGATTTTTTTTTAAATGCATTTCTAGATAGAGGTTTAAGTATATTAAAGGTCCGTGTATTATTTTAAATTTTAAATTTAGTCACCATATTTTTTTGTTTTAACATATTGATCTCTCAACTAAAGTTTGTTCAATTTTGACGTTAATTCTTAGTACTAAAGTTTTTTTTAGTCATTTTGACCATCATTTTTGAAATTTTGTCAATCAAGCCACTCAAGTACTATTTAAATGCATTCAATAAAACCACTTGTCGTTAATATTTAATGGAAAAGCTGATATGACAATAAAAATATTTGGTATAATTAATATTTAATCATTGTTACTTATATATTCTATCAATTTGGTAATAATTTTAATAAATTAAAATAAACTTAACCCTCAAATATGCCAAAGTAATTAATTAGAGAGGAATCCAATTTAATGCCAGCCAATACAAATTTTTCTTTATCTTTATCGGCTTTTATTATTTCTAAAAATAAAGTAAAATAAATATGCCAATGTTTTATGATGAGACATGCCAACATTTCTCCATGTTCTTCGATTTTTAGCTTAAGATATTGTATTTTACATTGATACACGCAAGACAATTAGTGTGAAAACTTAATGTGTTTAAATTATATCTTTCAATGATTTTAGGAGTTTAAATTAGATGTTTTATTTTATTCTGTAATTACTTTTAGACTGTTTATTTAAAAATATTTTTTTTATTACTCAGCTCTCCAATTATTATAACTTTACTTTTACCTAATTCATCGAATTATAAGTAAAAAATAATTGTTTGTATTAATTTTTAAGAGTTTAAATTTTGATTTTACTTAATATATATGTATTTTTGAAATCATAGCATTTAGTATTTAATTTTTTTGATTTCTCAAAAATGAAATCATTTTTTTGTAAGTTTTCTTTTCTTTCTTGTTTGTTTTCCTACAAATTGAAAAAAAAAATAAGATGAATAAAGATTACTTTGGGACCATTTGATTTGAGGGCTAAGTTTATTTTATTTTATTAAAATTAGGACAAATTGATAGAATATATCAGTCACATAGACCAAATGTGTAATAATATCAAATATTTTAATTGCTACATCATCTTTTCTGTTAAATATCAACGGCAAGTGACTTAATTGAATGCATTTAAATAGTTGAGTGACCTGATTGACAAAATTTTAAAAAATAGCGGTCAAAATAAAAAGAGCAATAGTTAGGTGATTATTGATATAATTTACCTTTTATTTTAAATAATTTACGTTTAAAATTTTAACTAATTTATAATTATATGTTGAACCCTTTAGAATTTTAATTTTTTATAAATTAAATTAATTATGTTCATCATTAGTGGTGCCCATATATACTTGTCTAGTGCTGTAGAATTTTTCATTTATATATATATAAACAGATAAATTAATTGATTAAAAAACAAACAAAAAATAAATAAATATAAAAGAAAGAAAAAAACAAACAGGGAATGAGACGGATTTTCGGTGAATTTGAATTTCAAATTCATTTATAGGTTAATCACATGAATGGTATACAAAGTTTTTAGAATTTATGAAATTGTCTCTAAAATTTTCATAAAATAAATTTAAAAGTGACATTTATTTAATTTAGTACCAAATTTAAATTAAAAAAATTTCTGAACTATCAAGATTAAAACATTAACCTTGATTTTAAGGTGTGACACCGAAACTTTTAAGGGAACAACGAGCTAACGAATCTCCTAAACCTAACTTGAACCCTACTAGATGATGAATTCATTTAATTCCACTTATTATTCATTTGGTTCAATAAGCTTGGTTTTACTTTAATTCTTTTCTTCGTATTAATGTTTGAAAATAGAATAAATTGTATAAAATGATTCCAAAATTCTTAAAATGCTTACATTTTAATAACATATTTTTAAAATATGAAACACAATCATTAAACTTTTAATTTTTATTGTAGTCATTGTTGTGGGTCACCATAAAAAAACTAATGCGACATGTTAAAGTTCATTTTTTTTATTTCGTTGTTTTAGGGGGAAAAACTTTATACTTTTTTTCTTCTAAATGATTACTTATCACTTCTCCTTTTGACTTCGTTTCTATGTAATTTGGTAGTTTTCATGACTAATAAGATAATTAAATTATTAATTATCCTATTATTCTTTTTCTCTTTCTTTTATCGTTCAAATTTATCGAACTTTTTTAATATCTTTAAATCTCAATTGAAACTGAAGTAAAATCTTTTTGATCTACTATTGTCAACCATCAGATTAACATAAAATCAAACTATATTAATCTTTTGGTCAAAGAAAACATACGAGTTATTGGGATTGACCAACGACTGGTCAAGTCAGTAGAAACTTGTCAAAGCTAAGATGAGTAGTTTTTATTTTATCAATTTTTTTTTTTTTGCTTCTTTGTTTGATTTTGTTGTTATTTACTATCTTCATTGTTTGATTTTGTTGTTGTTTTTTATCTGTTGCTATTGGAATTTATGGTTGTGAATGTTGACTGAGTGGAATCAATGTGATGGCTCATGTTTTGGTTAGCTTGGTTGTGGATGGTGAAGGGTGTTTCAATTGTGTTTGAGATAAATGAAATGACGATGATAAATAGTTTGGTAATAGTAGAAAATTTGTGAAAACTATTTAATATAGTGGGTGTTGTGTTTAGCGACAATGATGATTGTAAGTATGTTAGACGATGACATCATTTACGATCAGAGCAACATCGATTAATTTGGAAGAAGATATTTAAGACTTGTTAGATTTAAATGAAATAAAAAACGAAGATAGCGTGTCATGTCATTTTTAATAACAATAGACAAAATTGCTTATAATAAAAGAAAAATAAAAATTTAATTATCATTTATATAATTTACTCAAAAAATAAACATAATTGCATGATAACCCGGCGTTTTTACCGAAAAATCACCGGTGACCGGTATATTTACCGATCTAACAACGGTTAGATTATATTTCCCGATCTAACACTCGTAGCAGTAAAGCGCGCTCCCTGCCCCACGCTATATGCTGATTTGGTGCCAGGTGGGGTATAGCGCGCCCCATGTACCGCACTATACGCTGACATGGCTTACATGTGGGTATAGCACGCCTCCTGTTCCGCGCTATAGTTGTTTATCTGACACGTGGGGTATAGCGTGGTACAGGGGACGCGCTATACCTTTAATT